CCCAAAGAAGAACCCATAAGGATCCATGATAAAAATCAAAATAAATGATTTTCTTCAACATTGCTAGACAGGGTGTTTTTTTTGTTTCTTTTATTGTTTTAAAAGAGTGTGACCCTGTGGAGATGAGGATCAGGCAGAACAGTGTGTCAGTGCCGGTGGCAGCTGGTTCAACAGATTTGACTCCTGCAGCCGAGACAGAGACTGAGCTTCATGAAATGTTTCTCCACAACAGGCCAGGACAGAGAGGAGGCAGAGGTTAGACAGGGAGCAGTGGGGGGGGGGGGGTCCCTGTTAATGACTCTACCAGTGAAACTATGCAGAACTTCTGTTACTGTCATTAGGGGCCCAGCATCGCACAGAGGGAGAGAGCCCACTTCACTTCCTCTACATTTGTACAGAAAAAAGTGGCTTCGATTCATGATTTTGGGAAAGTCCGTCATCTTTCAGCAAACAAGAATCAGATATCGGATGAAAACTTCATCACCAGGAGAGATTCTCTCATTGAGGATGAAATTGGTTCGGACAGAGAGCCTCATTAAAACAACCTCAAGAGCTGCACTGGTTATTAAGAATAGACTGAGATAACTGAGACGGCTTCATTTAATACAACACGTTGTCACCGTCTGCTTTAAACCTGATAGATCCAGTTTAGTTGAACATTAATACTGTTAATCATGGGTTTAATGCAGTAGTAGAAGAATTATTCAGATGTTTTGCACAAGTAAATGAAGTAGTACAACAGTGTAGAGATACTGCATTACGGAACGTAACTAAAAGTCATGCATTTTAACTTTAAAAATACAGAGTAATTGGTAACAAAATATACTTTAAACATCGACATAATAATATTTTTTGTTTGTTTGTTTTAGTTATTTGTTCTTGATACTAATAATAATACATAATAATGTATTATTATTGATTATATCTTGTATTATCTCTCTATATTAGCAAATAGACAGTGGTAACTAAAATGACCAAATAAATGTAATGGAGTAAAAAACTATTGTTACCTTTTAAACTAGTGGAACTTTAAAGTAGCAGACAAAGGAAATAAGTAATTAAGAAATTGTATTTAATTACTTGTAAATGTACTTTGTGTGATAATAAGAGGTTTTTATACAGTTTAACATATTGAGTATGTTTCTAAACAAAAGCTAACATTAACATAGAAAACAAACATTGTTTGCATTGTACATTTGAATAATAAATAAAAACAGTCTGGCAGAGAAATTAACTAAAACTATGAAACCGTTGTTCATGCTGTGGAAACTAACTTGTCTGAACTGTGACCTTGTTGTATCAGATCTGATGTTTGCAACACAACAGTATCTTTTTAAAATGTGTCAGTATTCACATCTGTATGGAAACTTCTGTCAGCTAATTCTTTTATGTCCCTTATGCAGAAGCAGTAACAGAAAATACTAAGAAAAAGGTTTTATTGTTAATTATAAAATTGTGCTGTGCATTAAATTTTGGTTTCTAGATGTCGAGTAGTGTATTTGTTTATTTGTTAGCAGGATTAAACAAAAACTACTGGATGGGTTATCACAAAAGTTGGTGGTCAAGAGAGAACCCATTAGAGTTTTGTACGGACACAGGAGTTCCTTTTTTACTTTTCTTTTAAATTGTTTCTCAAAGAAAAATTTATTGATCTGAAAAAAAAAACATATCTAGGGGACTGATATTTATGTGTGTGTTGCAGATCCAAATAAAAAACCTGGATTTAGGGAATTTAAATGTGGTTTCTTCAGGGGGACTGTTGGGCTGGAGGTATGAGCTCTACTGAGTGAAGTTCTAGTTTTTAATGGCTTTATATCCATGTGGGAAATGTAAGAAACTATTGGAAAAAAATCTTAAGATGTTAAAAAATACTCTAAAAACTGCAGTTTCTAACAGTGCTTGAATAAATGCACATCCATCACTATAAAATAAAGCTGCAGCTGAGTAATTAAGGACTAAAATGAAACACATAATTAAACTAAACATAAAAAACAAAATAATGAAACAACTTTCTGTTGTCACATAAAATCTGTCAGTTATTTAGTGTTGATGACAGATGTTGCCAGAGGTTGAATAAATACCAGCCAGATGACAGAAAACCTCATGTATGACATTAACTTAAAAAAAACAAAGAAGAGGAAACTAATCCATAAAAAGTCGTGCTTGATGGAGCTGCACAGATTTTGCACATGATTTATGTCTGGAATCCAGTTACAGGCTGTTGTTTGGCAGAACATAAGACTGTGTCTTCTTCTGTTGCCAAGAGACCAAACTTTGTGTTTTTGTGTTTGTGTGTCCAACCTCGCCTTATCCTCACTGCTTTCATATCCTTCCTTTTCTCACTTTTCCACATCATTACTCACAACCGCTGTCGTCCTTCTTTACAACGTCCTTTGAGGACATCATTACAGAAAGCTACTGCCAGAGCCTGACACCCGGAGACCATGCACTGTACACAGGCTGGTGGAGAAATTATTATATTTTTGGTAAATGTAAGATATATTTAAGCACTTTAGCTCCTCTCGTAAGATAAGCTAAGACAAGATACGATAAGATGAATTTATTAAAAGCTGCTGTTAGTTTAGTTTGAGCCAAGATGTCTGAACCAAAGTCTGTGAAACTCACATGAGCGTTTTAATGAAAACATCTGTAGTCTCATGTCTGACAGACAAACATGTCGTATGAACATGTATTGTTTTTGTTCTTCTGTCTCCTGTTTTAACCAACTGACGCTGTTTCCTCACACTGCTGAGAAAAAAAACAATCATTGGTGTGAGAGACAAACACGAAGAGAGGTTGTTCAACATGACTGACTCATCTCCTGACCCTGTTTCTGGGAGCATCTACACATTACGAGCACAATTTACTGTGTGTAGCCACAGATCGACCTCGATTCAAAGCTAAGTTTCCCACTGAGACAAAGTAATTTGTCCTCTCACCTCGTCTGAGAACTGAAAGACGTCTGGAAGGACAGAGGTGCAGCAGCAGGTTATATTCCTCCCTCCTGGGTGTTCTTTGCCTTGTTACTGACACGGTGAGGTCAACTACTGGAAGCTGTCTGGAAAAACAGCAGATATGGAGGATCACAGGATCTAACAGACCAACACAAGTGTATTCTTAGAATCTGCCCCACGTCTCTTTCTCACACACTCACAGATATTAGAATCCTGTGTGCATGATTTTTTTCATCAAGATCAATTAATTATTCCGCAGGGGTGAAAACAACCTCCTTGTCAGAGGTAAAGAAAGTGGCCACATGTTGAGATAAACTCTAAGAATCATCCCTTCTTGTTCAATAATATCCTGGTTTAGGTGTAATAAGTGAGATCGGTGTGAAACAATCTATTTATATTCCACTTTTTAAACAGTTGTGTTTGCTATTTATGTCCAAACAACTGTGTCTTTATGTCAAATTGTTTTAATCCAATCCTTTGTATTTTCATTCTGTGTGTTCACTATGGAGATGCACTGAAATTAATTACTTGGCTGTGCAATAACAAGTAAAGGCATTATATAATAATATCAATCTTTTATAGTGTCTTTCAGCTCCTTGTTTTGGTTTTGTTGACTGTTTTGTGTTCACACGTTGCAACTTTGTCCAGCTACTTTCAGTGAAGAAGTAAAGCAGCTGTAAAAACAAACAGACAAAGTCAGCAACTGCTGCCTGCATCCGTTTCAAGACACTAGTACTTGTGTAGTGTGCTGTGAATGGACCGGGCCCAGTCTACATCCAGGACATGGTTAAACCTTCGCTCTACATCTACCAATCGGCTTGCTACTCCCTCACTGCCAGCTAAAATCTCGACTGTTTGCTGTCCTGTTTATAGATATATATTAAAAAACATTAGTTTAGTTGCACTTATATGGCACTGACATATAGCACTTGTAGTTTGGCTTTTTGGAAGCAAATTGTAGTTACTTGATTCTTGCTGTTCTGGGTTTTTGTCCTCATGTTTGAATGCACTTATTGTAAATCACTTTAGATAAAAGTGTCAGCTAAATGAAATGTATTGTAATGTAAAACAACTTGGTGATGAACATAGTGAGGTGTTTAGCTTTTAAAAGAGCCACATACTTCACTCAGGAGGCAGCAGGGACCAAAAGAAAGAAAAGGCGAAAGAGTGAAGATGAATTTTCATTCACCGGGCCAGAAATACACATTTAAAGAGTTGATTATGTTGCTGTATTTGTATAAGTGGCCCTATGGTCCCACTAAAACAAGATGTAGCTTAATGCTCTTTTTACTTAATGTTCATTTTTTTTAATCAAAGTTACACTGACATGAGTTTATGTGCAAAATCATATAATATCTTTACTCAATGACCTGGCTGTGTCAAATTTACGCTGTGTGGTTGCAGATTTAAAATGAAATGGCCTCTAGTCAGATGTGTAACTCTAACTGGCCTGTTTGCATTAGGTAACACTATGCAGATGCAAGCTGCACATGATGTAAAGAACAGGAGCAGGCAGGACGTTAGTTTGAATGTTTTCTTCTGTAGATAGTGGATATTAAATGTTTTTTACTCTATGCCACAAATGTCCACATGAGGTATTCTGTAAATGTACTCTGACTACTGTACTTAAAGTGTAATGTGTGCTCAAAAGGGGCTTTATTTAACACACATTAGAACGCTAATGTGCAGTATTAGGATCTCATACTGATCTTATTCTGCTTGTTCTGCACACTCTGCCTGCACAGAAACAGAAACATTCAGGCTGAGGAGACAAATGCCCAGTTAGACTCAATCAGCATTGATCTTGAACACAGGGGGTCGATTTATTAACACCACGCATTTGTTACTCAGACCCCCCCGACTGTCCCTCTTTCATACGTAGCACTATTTAATAAACCATTGCGTGTCACGAGTGTACAATGGAAGTGATAAATTGTAAGGATAATAGTGTAATCAAAAGACACCTTGGCAAACTGCCGAGAGGGGAGGTGGGAGAGGCAGGGGCGCTGGAGGCAGAGACGTATAAAAGAGACAGTGAAGGAGTGTGTTGGACCAGAGTGAGGGAAGAGAAGAGGAGGAGGAGAGACAGAAAAAGAAAAGAACAGGATATTGCGCTCAAAAAGGTAAGGAGAAAAACATGTATTAAAAAGTTGATGTGTCTAGCTCAACTCAGCTCAACTGTACTTTATGAATATCACAATCTGAATGCAGCTGGATGGGTTTTGTATGTACGACTAAAACCTTCAGTAAGAACTTCGATGTTACAGTTTATTCTCATTTCTGTGGCTTTTATTTCAATATTGTCATTTGCAATTTGTCAACCTAATTTAACTGAAATAAAAATCTATTCTTAACGTATGTAACTTCTCCTGATCAAACTTAATGTATTCATTCTTTCATTAATAAAAACTATAAATATTTTCTGTTCTTTTAACTTAGAAGAGAAGGTGCCAAATTATTATGTTGTCAAAATATTTGCCAGTGTACAAATGCAAACCCTGAGAGTGTGTGTGTGTGTGTGTGTGTGTGTGTGTGTGTGTGTGTGTGTGTGTGTGTGGAGGGTTTTGATTGTGTTGCCAGTTTTTTGTCAGTGGATGCAGAAATGTTTGAGCGCTCCCCTGACAAATGGTGATGGATAACACAGATGTGTAATCTGAGTGGGGGGCTCTGTCCAGCCATTTTTTTTACCCTAAAACCTAAAAGGCATAAGCATAGAATAAATCCTTAAATACCCATTTTTCATTTGTTCTTGATAGGAACTATTGTTTTATTCACATTGTTCAAGTTTAACACAAACTCAAGTATGTATTTTTTTAACTGTCTCATATCAAAGTGTTTTCAATTGTTTCTGTTGTTTCTTCACATTCATCTGATCTTAATCTTCTCTTCCCACCAGGAAGTGGACTCATTCTTTTTTGAGCTCCTGGTGTGAAACGCACAAACCTGAGGTGAAAGTTCAGAGGTCAGAGTTGACGACAGAGAGTGAAAATGTCACTGAAGCCTCTTCTGCTCATCTGGGGAATCACTGCAGCCACTGTTGTTACTGCTCAAGGTGGGTCTCTCACAAAGATGCTGAGATTTCTGTTTTCCAGTCATGTCAGTGGCAACTCAGCCTCACTGGAAAACAAATTTCAAATAACATTCAGATTGAGACATTTACATACTTAACAACACAAAGTTGACTACGTTTTCCCTATCAGTGAAAAGACTGATCAAACTTTATGAAAAACTGAGTCTGTTCTAAACATAAATTTAATTACATTTTTTAGATTTTACAGATACACATCACTGCACCCATATTTAATTTGTCTTAAATACATATCTGTATTGGTGTACAGTGTACGGTTAAAAGTGTACTAGGCCTTTTTGTTGGTTTAGTCATATACTGTGTGACTCCCTCTGAACTCAGTAAGTATGAGCTGCTACCCAGGCCATGTCTGTTTCTACACTCTCTAGAAAACTACGAGTGGACCACATGGTTCAACGTTGATCACCCCGGAGGTCGTGGAGACTACGAGCAGCTGGAGGCCATTCGCTTCTATTACCGTGCACGAGTTTGTGAGACACCACGGGCAATTGAGGCCAGAACCACTGAATGGATCCCAGCCCGTGAGACTGGGGAGACGGTCCATGCAGACCCGACGGTGGGCTTCTGGTGCCTCAATGAGGAGCAAGGTCCCAAACGCAACTGCTCCAACTATGCAGTCCGCTTCCTCTGCCCTAAAGGTTTGTTCTTGAAGCATCTTTAAGATTCATTCAAATATCCAAATTTGGGCATAATTGAAGATTATTTGTTCACAATTTTCCAACAGTTATCAGTGTGAACATTCAGGGTACCTGGGGCCCTTGGTCAGACTGGAGCCCATGCCCTGCCGCCTGCGATGAAGTGAGGGTCCAACTACGCTCCAGAAACTGCCAGTCTCACTCCATGCCTTGCAGTGGCCCTAAAGTAGAAGAGAAAGAATGCAATGGACCTGAGTGCCCAATGACAAGTGATGTAGTCCATATTAAGTTGAAGAAATTCTTCTGCACTCTGATTCTTGATTGAGCATAAACACATCTAATCTGTGACGCACTAAATTTTGTATTTGTTTTGTTCGACTGCTTAGATTGTTTCCTGCAATGTGCGGTGGGGAAGGTGAATGCTGAGTGTGACGCATGCATGTGTGAAGAGCACATCCTGTTGGGTTCTGTACGTGGTGCTGGAGGTCTCATCGCTGAAGGAGCTACGATCCTTCGCAATGGCAAGCTCCTCACCCTTACTGACCACAACGGACATTTCCGCATCCCCGGTATCTGCCCTGATGGCAACACCACGCTGACGGTCGGCCTGCAGGGTCATGTCACCCATAACGTTGTTGTGCCAAACAGCTCTGAACGCACATCTGTCCTCAGTGTCCAGCTGAAAAGAATAGGTACAATCAATGTCTGTGGATTACAGTTCACATTACCTGCTGTAGCTGTATGAGATTAATATATTTCATCTCCAATTGTCATTCATCAGAGAAGCTTCATGTGTTGAGCAACCCCGACAGCAAGGCCAGGAGGCAGGGACAAACTGCTGCCTTCTGCTGCAAAGTGGCGGGAGCACCACAGCCAGACAAATACCAATGGTATGATTTGTCATATTGAAATAATCATCCACAGATCAACTATATCCCATAAATATAGGATATAAGTGATACCTTTGCATCTGCTGTCTGTCTTTCCTTGTCTGTGACAAAAACAGGTTTCATAACGACAGTCTCCTGGAGAAGCAGACTGGGAGCACCTTGGTCCTAAAGGATCTGCTTCTTGAGCAGGCTGGGGAGTACTACTGCAGAGCAAGTGGGCCATCTGGTGCTATCAAGACCAAACCAGCTACACTCAAAGTCCTAGGTGTGTTGAAAATAAATTGATAAAAATAGTAAATATATAATAATGTGAATAAAATACTATATCACTGAATATACTGTATTTTAGATAACAGTATGATCAAACTAAATTCCCATTTATATTTCTGTATCTTAAACACAGGTCGAAATGAGCATTCATGTAACCCCAAACCTCAATCCCACCACATCCGTCTTCCACATGACTGCTACCAAAACAGCACAGACTCACTCTATTACGATGTGGGCAAGTGCCCTTCAAATACATGCACTGGAAAGCTGGACAATGGCATCAGGTGCAAAGACAAAGTGGCCTACTGCTGTGGTGTGGAAAAGATGGAGGAAAGGCAGATTACATGTAAAGGCTACCAACTGCCCACCATGGTGGTGACTGAGTGTGGCTGCCAGAAATGTGTGGAAACCAAGGCTATTGTGCACGGTCGGGCCATTGCGGCAGATAATGGTGAGCCAATGAGGTTTGGCCATATCTTTATGAATGGAGTCAGAATCAGCCGCACAGGCTACAAAGGTACCTTCTCCATTCAGGTCCCTCCAGACACAGAGAGGCTAGTCCTGACTTTTGTGGACAACATGCAGAAATTTGTCAACAGCACAAAGGTACTTCCATTTAACACCAAAGGAGGGGCTGTTTACCATGAGATCAAACTTCTCAGAAAGAAAACACCTGTCACCATCAGCTCAGTAGAAACCAACACGTTGGAGCTTGGGGAGGTGGAGGGCCAGGAGGCAATGGTTCAGATCCAGATTCCACCCAATTCCTTTTACAAGGAGAATGGAGAAGCCTTCACAGGTAATGTCAATGCTAGTATAACATTCCTTGACCCAAGAGATGTCTCCACAGCTGCTGCAGCTCAAAGTGATCTCAATTTTGTAGGAAGTGAAGGCGATACCTTACCTCTAAGAACCTATGGTATGTTCTCAGTGGACTTCAGGGGTGAGGAAAACAATGAGCCCCTGAACGCAGGTGAAGTGAAAGTTTTCCTTGATTCTGCTCAGGTGAAGATGTCTGAGCACCTAAACACCATGAAGCTGTGGTCACTGAACCCTGATACCGGCCTGTGGGAGGAGGAGGGAAGTCTGCAGGTGGAAAAGAAAAGAAGAGGCAAAAGGGAGGAGAGAACCTTTCTGATTGGTAACATGGAGATCAGAGAGAGGCGGCTGTTTAACCTGGACGTCCCAGAGAACCGCAGGTGTTATGTGAAAGTGAGGGCCTTCCGCAGTGAGCGCTTCATGCCCAGTGAGCAGGTGGAGGGAGTTGTGGTGAGTCTCATAAACATGGAGCCGACAGCTGGCTACTCCTCTAACCCACGGGCCTGGGGACGATTCGATAGTGTAATCACTGGCTCGAACGGTGCCTGTCTTCCTGCCTTCTGTGATGAACAAAAAGCTGATGCATACTCTGCCTACGTCATGGCCAATCTTGGAGGGGAGGAGCTGGAGGCTGTCCCTTCGGCTCCTAAACTCAATCCCAACCTCATTGGAGTGCCCCAACCTTACCTGAATAAACTGAACTACAAGCGGACCGACCATGAAGATCCGAGAGTTAAGAAAACAGCTTTCAGCATCAACGTTGCGAAACCAAGTCCCAACACAGCCGAGGAAGGCAACGGACCAGTATACCAATTTGAGAAATTGAAAGACTGTGAGGAAGCCCCGTTCAGTGCAGCACACTTCCGTTTCTCAAGAGTGGAAGGAGACCGCTATGATTACAACACCGTGCCATTCAATGAAGACGACCCAATGAGCTGGACAGAGGACTACCTGAGCTGGTGGCCCAAGCCCATGGAATACCGGGCCTGCTACATTAAAGTTAAAATCAGCAGTCCACATGAGATCAATGTGCGGTCCCGTAACATGGGAGGCACCCATCCCAAGACAGTGGGTCAGCTGTATGGCCTCCGAGACACTCGCAGCATCCGTGACATGGACCAGAACACTGTATCAGCTGTGTGTGTGGAGTTCAAATGCAGCGGGATGTTGTATGATCAGGAACGTGTCGATCGCACCCTGGTGAAAGTGATTCCACAAGGAAGCTGTAAGAGAGAGCTTGTCAACACAATGCTTCAGGAGTATCTGGTCAACCACCTGCCCCTTGCAGTCAACAATGACACCAATGAGTTCACTATGCTGGCGCCTCTTGACCCTCTGGGTCATAACTATGGAATTTATACAGTGACGGACCAGGATCCCCGCACAGCCAAAGAGATCGCACTTGGACGCTGCTTTGATGGCACTTCTGATGGTACGTCTCGTGTCATGAAGAGCAATGAGGGTGTGGCGCTGTCGTTCACATGCGGAGATCGTGAGGTTACACACCAGAGTGTTTTCCAGTCCCTGCAGAGCTCTCAGGGTCAGACAGTAACAAGTGTGGTGAGAGGCGAAGGCAGACAGAACCGGCGCCGGCAGAGAGCCAATGCACCCCGCAGCAGTCGTAGACGTAGCACCAGGAACCCCACAGGAAAACGTGCAGAGGCCAAAAGCTAAACACTGAAGGTCAACGAGGAGATCAAATGAGTACCTACAACAGAGGTGGATAGCGTGAACCTTCTGATTTTATACATTTTATATTGGCTTGTTTTTTTCACGCAACTAAAGGATTAGGCCTATTTCTTGCAGCTTTTTCCCAAAATTGTGCTACGTTATTTTTCAATTGTACTGTGGTCAATATTTACTTGAAACTGTAAATAGAGTATTTATTACATGTGCCTTATAAACAGCTATCAGTGAGCTGATGTGTTATTACATGTAAGATTATTTCAGTAATGTTATAAACAAAGACGGAAACACAACTTGTCCTTTTGACCAGTGGTTTATTAAATTAGATGCTTATAAAACACTGCAGATGCTGTATTTGCCATATTATCATTGTCATTATCATCATCCAATTGTCCATGTAACAATGAAACTGGTCAACTGTTAGAAAAGAACAGGAGAAATATGCCCCTTTCAACTAACTGTAGCCCATATGAAGACATGGTGGGGTGAAGCCCATAAGCCCCCGCTCCTCATCACACTTGATACAAGCCTGCAGAAGCAATGATTAGGAGACCAGTTGTAGCAAGTTAATCCACTTGCCTGATCTATACTTTTTCTGCATTAGTATAAATCAAATTAGTAAATTGCTTTTGTCATGAACGAAAAATACCTCTAAGCACTCTTTGCGCCGAATTTTCAAGGATATTCCAGAGATGTATCAAGAGAATGGCTGTGAAGTTTTAAAGTCACATTTATTATACTTATTTATCCCTTTTATCTTACAATGAATGTCACGTGCTCTCTGTAAAATTACAACTACTACTTACATGTTGCATCGGTCTCATTATCACCCACAATGCAACCTTTCCGGAGATAAAGATGATAAAGTACTGAATAATTGTTCTGCATTTGGCAACCAAAGTTATAGATACTATATACTTTCCTGTAAGAGACCCATCCACAGGTAAGTGAGACCTATAATATATACATGACATTCTGGTTGAGGAATTTGCATAGAACCTTGTGTTTCTATGTCAGTACACCTACAACTGCAATACTGTATCTGCCATTTTAACAGGGGCAACATTCAATAAAAAAATGAGCCCTGCAAAACTCAGACAACAGCAGTTACAATGTATTCTTCATTGTTTAAGCTGGGTCACCCAACAGATACTAAATTATTATGAGTGTGTAAGTTGAGGCTGAATGAGACAGAGAAAAGGCAAATCCGTATGTATGAACATAAAGAGTTGGTGAGACTGGGTGCTCCCTGGTATAGTCCCTCTGGTCATTGAAGCAAAATGAATGGGGCAACACATAGTTCAGATTTTCCAGGATGGCACTGGACAGCATGAGAAGGAACAGCTGCGTTTCTGAGGGTTGGGTGAAGGAAAGGGCAGTAGTGATGGAGCCAGTGTCACATGAAGTCCTCGTAGTCTTGGGCGTAGCCACCATCAAACGATGCATAGTCAAGGTCGTCTCTCAGCTGTGCTTTCAAACCGCCTCCGGCTACGACCCCCTTCTTCTTCTTCTTTCCTTTGTTTTGCTGTAGAGGCAAATAACAGTCACTTTTAAAAAGATATAAATGATGTATGATTACATATTTGCAACAAAAAGCCTTTCTAGTTTGATTTGCTGGTTGAACAATGCAAAGAACTAAATTATTCAAGTGCATTCAGCCACTAAACTTACATGTTTCACTTGAATTAATAAATACTGTATATCACTGTTAATTTAGATTCAGTACATAAACCACATGGATGAGCATACAAGAAGTGAAATTGCAAGGTGAACAGCACCCCCTACTGAATATGATACAGATCTAAACATGTGAGAAAAGAGTTTTAAAAAAAAAGTATGCATCATCTTACTTTTTCTTGTTTCTGTTTTTCACTAAGTAGAGCTGACAGGGAATTACTGATTTTCTTCATGTCATCTACTTCCACTGCAAGAAGGAGAGGAAAAATAATTACCTGCTTTGAATGAAATCGTGTCAATTTTCAGCAATTTTCAATAAAAGTGATGAGGCGCTGTGCTTACATGAAATACAGAGTTCCCGAAACAATGAATCCAAGAAACTTGAATAATGCACAGATTTTTCAAACTGGGATATTTTTTCTTTCAACAATTTTTCAAACTCTGTGAAGTCTTCTTTGGAAGATGGACACATGGCATCGATCCCAGTGACACTGTTCGGAGTGCTGCTGCTGATACCTGCACAAAAAAATAAAACATTAAAAGACAGTTCCGTATTTCTTTAGAGGGAACAGAATCACAGACGCAACTCCCTGCTTTTCCAACTGGACCTGCGAAGCAAATGTTGATGATGCTTCTAACGCAAAACAGATGCAACAAAAGAAATCAAATGGCGTCGACGTAGATGTCAGGAGTTTGTGGTGAAAAGAGCTGACGGTGGTGTCGGGGTGCTGTAAACATGATCACGTGATCGCCGCAGCACAGTTAATACGTCACTTCCTGCCTCTGCCTGCTGTACCCGGCTGCTCCACCCCTCACCTGAATAATAATAATAATAATAATAACGGAGGAAGTGATGCTGTTGCGAACGTGTCTGTGCAGAAAACCTCCCAGTGTGTTGTGCATGTGTGAAAGGAACAACAGGTAAAATCTTTAGCCAGTTGGTCATGTCTGAAAACTGCTGTACTTTTCACACACTTGATTTATGCCAAAAACATGTCTTTCGACTTAAACAACACTTAAAGATGATTGTTGTTTTTCAGAACACTGAGCATTTCATACAGTAAATACTTTAATTATAAAACTTATACTTACAGAGTATACTTAACATTAAGTAATTATTTTGTATCAGTAAAAATCAATTTTCAAATCACAACTTTGTTAAGTTATAACCATCATTATGGTTTAAACATTGTGGAGGACTGCTTATAATTTTTGTTCATTCCTGAGCAGTGATTCTGTCTTACCAAAAGCATCTTTTGCTAGCTCCAAGTCTGCAGCTTCCTGTAATTTCTTCACTCTTAACTTCTCTTCGAGTTGCTCTTCAGAAGTAAGCTCTGCTTCCTGTAATGACAAATGCCACAAAGTCAAAATTAAAAGCGAGGGGACATTTTTTTTTTAAATGTATTGTACAGAAAACTGTGAATTAATTGGTCCTTACTGCATTCTGCTGCTCTTTCTCTTTCTGCTCCTGTAGTTTTTTCTTTAACCGATTTTCTTTCTCCTTAATTTTCTCACTCAACTTTTTCTTATCAGAAACTTTCGTCTCTGAAAATGAAAATAGAAATACACTTAGGTAAATTTGATGAAGGCATGTAATTTAGATTTCAATGATAAATATAATATAATAAATAAGGTCTTAACAGGTTGAAATTGAATACATACCCAATTTTTTCACCTCTCCATTTTTCTCCTCTTCCTCCTCATCATCCCAGTTGTCCTATGAATAAAAGGAGGTGGCATACTTATCATTTATAATGAGTCTTCACAGGCATTAATGCGTAGCAAGTTTATATAACAATCATTTGGATAACTAAAGCTGCAATATGACATTTTCATTACATAAATACTTTTAGATTAGGTGATAATTAAATAACCACATTGAAGATGATCTCAGATAATATTTTGATGTTGCACACATTTCTGTTCAGATCACTGAATCTCTACAGCTGTGATTATTTTTGTTTGAGAGATTTAGAGAAATCCTGAAATGGTAAAATGACTAATTGCTTTTGGATTATTTAATAAGTGGCTTAACGTAAACCTTCCATATTGTGATGAGGAGGACGATTTAAAATGTATATAACTGACCCTAATTGATACTGCTGTAAGAAAGCACTGCTAGTGATGGGAACTGATCGAAAAACCAAGTTTAAACTTGCAGTTCAAGATCTGCCAAGTGGTGAGCGGTGCACTGCTGCAACAAAATCCACATAATTACCTTTAATCGATTGAATCAAATCATATAATTTGATAATTAAAAAGCCTTTCACCACCATCTGAAATACTGAATACTTCACACACTGAATGTTAAAACTCACTCAACTCTACAACACAGACATGTAACTCAGTGAGCTAGCACAAGAAAGCTATTGTATTTTGGAACATGTTATAATTACAGCAATAACTCCACATTATCTACTTGAGGGTTACAAACTCATTTCATTCGAACAATTGTCTGTGTTCGCTGCTGGTTTGCCACAAGCTTCACATCCTGCCAGCTGAATAAAAGCCAGCTGTAGCACGGAGGACATGAAATCATCACTTTCTTTATTTCTGCTTCCATATGTGACTGAACCCTGAACAATTGAAGAGGCCTCTACCAGCACTTTCCCGGGGTCCGTTCTCGGAGGTTTCTGGACAGTGACCGTGTCCACATTCAGCTCTAAACAACCTGTAACTTCCCCGCCAGCCGAACAGCTGTCTCCCGCCACACTCGTGGTGTAAAAGGGGGAAACTTCCAGGCCTCGTTCTTGGATCGGTTGAGTCATCAAACTCAGATGAGGATTTCATGATTGCGGCTAAAGTTGGTTAGCAAGCTAAAGCCCCCTCATGGTAAACGGAACTAAAGCTGCGGGACAGGGCGAAAATGCTGATCTCATATAATCACATAATCCAGCTCACTATACGTAACTGGAAAATTACCAGTAACATTCACCAAATACTCCAAACCAATAAAGTTAAAGACGCTGCCGTCGATGTTGGAGCTAATTTAACGCGCAAGCTGCCGGGGGAAGCTAGCGAGTTTGCTAGCTCAGTGGCCCGGGAGGAGGTTAGCTTTAAGCTAGTTTATCCACATTTAGCCCGGCTGACCAAGGAGCTACATCACCGGGTGTTAGCTTCAGAATAAAAAACAACCCGTATCAAGGTTTCTAAATCATTTAAAAACCAAACCATGTTACTGTTAGATAAACACACGTCGTGATATAGATACGATATGAGCGTTTAAAACCGAGTGGTAGCCCCTGTTAGCTTAGCTGGAGTGAGTACAGGCTGGAGCCACATGAGTTAGCCCATAGCTAGTTAGCGCGAAGCTAATACAGGCTCGGGGGTTGACAGGCAGCCATAGACCGCGGTGAAGCATGGCACCAGAGCCGGGGCGGCAGAGCTTGAACCCGCCGTTAGCTCCAGACCCACCCGGCCGGCTAACCGCTCTCTGACGGGTCACCTGTGTCCGACCCCCCCCCCCCCCCCCCCCCCCCCCCCCCAGCTCGGACCGTGTGTGTGTCCGCCACGTTAGCTCACCTTAACATCTTCTTCTTCGTCTTCGCCTTCCCATTTGTCCAGCGCTGCCGCCTTTTGAATCGGCTCCTCCGCCTCGAAGCTGTCAGCGTCTGTAGAAACGACAACATGAGATGGGTTAGAACGATCCACATCTACCGACAGACTTCGACAACAGCGCGGTGTCAAGCGGCTAAAAACCGGAGGAGACGGAGTGACAGCGGCCGATGTACAGACCGCTCTCCTCCCCAACTTAGTTTCTCACCCCAGTCCGCCATGTCGGCTGTGTTGGTTGTGTTTGACAGACTGTCGGTGGAGTCAGTGCTGCAGCCCGCTGGCCACGTTCAGGAACAGCTCCCACGTCCTGGACGTCACAGTGGGTTTATCTAATGTCCTCTGTGCCCCGGACTCCTGCAAGTAACACGAGCCCGAGCAGCCAGCACAGCTTCTCCACATCACCACATCTGATCAGGCCACACCATGTTTCTACCATTTATTCATCAACAGGGAGGAGGTCAGTGTTTGACTTTGAATTTCACAAGATATATTTAAAATGTCCTGTATCATTATTCAAGATTCAAAACTTAACTGTATGTCTGGATGGATGGATGCATGGATGCATGGATATATACATATATATATATATGTGCAATAAAGTTTTGAAAAACGTTGAAATTGAATAATAATTTAGGCCATAATGGAAATATATGTTTCACTGGTGTATGAAACACAAAGTAATGCAATACATAAAAAGCACACGATATATAACACGAAGTAAAATTTCTGAAAAATACAAAATACTGTATAGAATAAAATGTTTAATTTAGTGAAACCTATGGTAATTAAAGCTAAATATAGAATGCTAAATATAAAGTGATGTGTGCCAGCTCAGTTAAGTCCTATTCTTTCTTGATAAAAGATGTTTTAAAACAGGGGACTCGGAACCTTCTCCCGATAGCATCATTATAAAAAGGACATATAAAATAGTTAACAGGAGTGGTGAAAGGAAAGTGCAAAAACAAAAGTACTGAATATTTCAATAATCTAAGTAATCATTCCTGTGGTGATGCAATCAGTATTACGAGTCCAAATGTGTACCGCCGTATGTTAAAATAATGACTTGAATAGTTGTTATTTTTCAATTAATTAAAAGTCATATCAGTATTTGGTGTGAGCACCCTTTCTGTTTACAACAGTGTGTCCATGACGTGGAGACCAGGGTTGTGTGGGAGCCTCACCAGCTGGTGCAGGACTCACTGTTCTCCTTGTCACTGAGTATAGTTCTTTACGACCCTGGAGGAATGTCTGGGGTTGATGGCATGCAGTAGAATGAATCTGAGACCAATTACACAACTCTTGAGTTTCTAAATGTGCAGTATTAAACACACACAGTGAGTTCAGTTAGGAATAAACAATCAGGATTTTAGAGGTCAAAGTCCTCCAGTATGTACTGTTACACAAATGTCCTGGTTCTGATACCGACTCATCATTTTCACCACAATCTTACACATAATCTCACAATTATAAGGTTTTACTATCTTATAATATTGACTTAAAAAGTAAAAAATCTGACCTGCATGAAATGTATATCTCATAATGTTCACAACATATGTCAAAGTTACATATCAAAGTTTAGTAGAGTTTGTTTATGTGGTTTGAAAGGAGTCCACACTAGTGTTTTTTTAGAGCTGGTATGTTTACCTGCTGTAGACCGCCACATATAAATCATTGTGAGATATTAATGAGCATTGTGAAACGATAACTTAGACACTGAGTGTGTATGAGTGCTGAAGACAGAGTCGATCAGAGGCAGAGTGGTTCACTTTAATAATTTACATCTATATTAATCACACCACAGAGTGTGCACAACAATACAAAACTCACAGCAAAATACACTGAAGTATTAACACAAGTGGGTCTCACTGAGCAATATGAACATGTTATCACTTGATCAAAATATAAATGTGGGAAAGATTAACGCTCTGATAAAAATATTACATCCTTCACAAAAATATAGAACTCTGTAGGTTTGCAACACAACTTTGAACTGTTAATAAATAACTGTATATTAACTTGACCATTTCTTACCATGGTAGGGCGTCACATCCCTGAGAAAGATGCACCAGGAGTTCATACAGGTTAATAACATTTAAATAAAGGAAATGAAAAGTGAAAAGACAATAATTCTATGGGTGTTGGTGGATATGTTGTTTATACACTGAACATGTTTATTTTTTCTCTTAGTTCTCTGAATCAATGTTGATAATTCAAAGTGACAACTGCAAAAAAAAAAACAGTATCACTGAACACTTTATATTTAAACATCCTTAAGTGCTGCTTATTATCTTGGAGGAACAGTTTGCACAGATCAGTGAGATTGTATTGGTTATGTGGGTGAAGAGGTGTCTCCTGATCCAGCAGGGGTGAGCGGGGTCATGCGCCCGGGCAGATCAGGGCAGGGCAGGACGATCAGCAGTATCAGCAGTCCCAGTACGAGACACAGAGGACTGTGGCTCAGCGCCAGCCCCAGTGACTTCCCTACAGCAACACAGTGAAACCAATACAATTGTAGGGCTGTGCAAAATATGAGCTCTGTGGATTATGTGTCTTTTTGAATTATCACAAAAAACACATCGAAATACATTTATTCGACTGCACTTTGAGTTCAGTTAATAATAAGCAATGCACAGCATCGAAAAGACATTCCGGTATAAATGTTTCTTTCAAATCACACGATAAATAGAATAATACTCAAATTAAATGAACCATTTGTATATTTTTTTTATAAAATAAGGTGCAATTTCGAATTTCCTAATTACTCTCAAGAGGAGTGTTGTCCGTTACTCAAGAAGTGCTACAAATAAATGTCTAAACTTAAACTCGGTCTCTCAGAGAGATATGTTATTGTGAGATACATTATTTAAAACAGTTTTGCACTATGTCCCAGTTCTACACTACTTACTGTACTACTACTACTACTACTGTGTATGAACTGTGTTTACACTCACAGAATAAACTCTGATGTTCTGTGTGTGGTATTGGCAAAACATCTGGCTTTGATCTGGTATGATGAGAATAAAGGGCCAATTTTCAGAAAGATTATCTCACTACTGTGATAAAAAGAAACATTTATATACATTTTAACATATATATGCCAAGAGATGTCTGATTAAATGTTTTAGTATGCTGCTGATACAAAAAGAAAATACATGAGCTACTTACAGCTGAGCAAAAATAAATCAAATTGCAGATGTTGGTGAGACAGCTCCAGGATCATCTCAGACATGAAAACAAAATATAAATTATTACATCTTTAGATAAAACATTTTTGGATTTTCTTTGCTCAGCTCAGTATCTGCCACAGTACATCTTGTATAATTTCACTTTGGAGCAAATATGAACTACTTTATGTCTTGTAAATTAACTAAAACAACTTTGTTGCCATGTATAGTATTAGTATAGAATTGGGACACAACTTTGTTCAAAACTTTACTTTTTTATATATTGAGTCTCTGATCGTGACCAGTCAATTTCAAAGTTTCAAATGTTTTGGTGTTTTACCTCTGAAGTCCACGGGCCTGTTCTCCCAGGGAGTCAGCGCCATGGCGAGAGCCGTCCGCTGAACGTCTGACAGAGCGGAGAACTGCTCTGGTGTCACTGCAGCTGCCTGCTCGTAGGAGAACACGCTCATCTGGATGTGGTTTAAAGCAACCTTGAGGAAATGACAAAACAGACAGGCAGACACATAGTCTCTATCGTCTCTAAAAAAACATGGATTTCATTTATTTTACTGCCACAAAGACCAGTGATTACTGAAACACAGAAGTTGAGAGAAAATGATATTAAGATTATGTGCAACATATAAAGATTATTCCAAGTAATGTCCTCATTTTGTTGGTGAGTTTTAGGGCAACTCAAACTTTCGTCCCAGCCACACAAGCACTAGTTTAGTTTCTGTTCCACAATGAATTGTCACACACCCATGACAAATTATAGATTATTTAAGAGCTCTTCGTGTCCAGATTCTGTCGGTGCTTAGTATTTTAGGATCAACACATTACTGCATCAGCTGTTGACACAGAATTGGATATATTAGCAGTACTATTAAGGTACTACTTAATATTCTAATTTTCATCCCACAATAGAAGTAGGTGAAAGAAAGAAAACATGTACCTTTACTCATGTGTTAACGAACTCTATTGCCACATTCATCACATTGTTTTATGTGAGAGAGAGCACAAGAAAAGACTAAAAAAAGCTTTTGGTGGCAGTGCTCTCTGCTGCACGGTCCATGTCATGTTAATTTAATTTATCACTTCCTTAGAAATAATACTTGTGGAATGTACTGAAAAAGTTATGTGATAATAAATAAGTCTTAGTCATGTTTTCCTAAATGGTTTTCCATAGTACTTTCTTTCTTCAGCCTGCTTTACTACATATTAAATTTCATTCTGTGTGATGTAGGATTATTAAGATGATTATTGAACCATTGTGAACATTGATCAGGATTTGGATGATAGAAAAGCAAAATCAATAAAAAGCTGAAGCCTTCCTGAATCCAAAAGTTGTTTCACTAAATGTTGACTTACGCTGAACCGTAGAGTCGATATCATTGAGATAGCCAAGGGCGTAATTCCTTCAATTTGCTCTTTCACCAAAGCTGACATGGCAAAGTCTGGGAGACCAGCTGCAAGAAGTGGAAAATATTTTAAAGAGAGTAGAAGTGCAAAGGTCATCTGAGTCTAAAACACCAGGATTCAACATCAAGAGATGAACTCATAATAAAAATGAGATGATTTGAATTTCAGGTTGTGAGCCCACACTTCATGAGGAAAAGAAAGTGACGGAACCAAACCTGCCAGAACCCCGATCTCAATGAAGACATCAGTCCCCCACGAACTAATGGGTCCAAAAGCAAGACTGTGTGTGAGCAGCCTGACCAGAGCATCGAGCTGCTCCTCTGAGCAGGAGAGCGTCAACTGACCCAGAAAGAGCACTGCTTTACTGCAGCCAGCAGGGAGAGACAAAGCACGAGGAGAGAGTGAATTCAAACTTCAAAAAAAAGAAGCATCTTCTCAAGTGTGTTGTTTTTATTTCCTCACCTGAACTCAACAGCATTGAAAGATTTGATATCTGTGTCTTTAGCTCCACACACGATGTGTCCCATGGCCACCAGTGTGCTGGAGTCCAGCTGACTGGGAGTCTGTTTGGTGGAGTTCAACACGGTGGTAAAGAGAGCAGCCAGCTGGGAGGAAGAAAAGAGTCATGACCCAGACTATTACCACAGGTTCAGTTTGGCCAAAATGATGTTTTCATGCAGTCTAAGATTCAAATCAAATCAAGTTTATTTCTAAAGCACATTTAAAAACAACAAGAGTTGACCAAAGTGCTGTGCAATGAAATAACAAGAAGGTAGATTCAAATTTAAAGTATGAGAATGTAATAAATAAGTTTGAAAATAATTTTTGTGGTTCTCACTAAGCCACTATAAGCCTATAGACATTTATAGGTGCATCAATGTATACAAACAGCTATGATGTTTGTCTACCAATATATGTGGTGGTCATGGAATAATATAAGTTTTGCACAGAGTCCTTGGAAAGTACACAGGATCATATTAAACATAATAAAATAAAAAGTAAGATTTTGGTCTTTACTTAGTTTACATAATATGAGCTGTCGTTAATAGGAGCAGTATAGTGAGTTTATATAATATGTTAAAGCAGGTACCTGTCTGTTGCTCCAGTCACTGACAGCACCCAGAGCAGCGATGCTCCTCCGCTCAGTCAATCGAAGGCTGCTCAGCTCGTCTACTGTCAGCTTTAATGCTAGTCCACCCAGCTGAGAGATCAGAGGCTGGGAGAAGGACGAGACGGGGCCATACATCTACATGCACACGCGTGTTATTCCAGAGGGACATAGCAAAGACAGAGCAGACACACAGTGTTACGTCCTGGACACAGGAGGGGGCACTGGTGAACGAAACACATCTGAGAAGACAAAAAAATGACTCTCACCTGTTTGACCTTTTGGAGCAGCTGGTTGTGTTTGTAGGATTCGAGGAACGGGTCGTGACCCATCAGCTCCAGACAGTTGGTGAAGGCAGATGAAGACATGCTCGTCAGGCTGCTGGAGGTCCAGGCAGCCGGAGTGATGGAGTGCAGAATCTCACAGGTAGGAACCATCGGAGTCGCTGGTAACAGACACAAATATCTGATCAGAGGAGGCTGCTGACATGTGAGTAATCATTACATCAGATCAACAACTTCTACGGGCAAATTAAAGATGTTCCATTTTATATTTTAATTCTATAAACTTTACACATTTTTGTAGTAATCATAGAGTTAAGGAATCAAATGTGATGCTCACGTGACAGAGGATTTATTTTGAGGAAACCCAGGAAAAACTGAAGAACAAACTGCTGCTTGAGAAAAAAGTCCGTCCTCTCTTTCTTGTTTAAACAACGACTTCCCACAGGCCCGTCTTCCCACCGACGCTGCATCATGAACAGCTTCTCTATATGTCCCAGAGTCATCAACGCCTGAGGGAACACAGACAACAACACACAAACATGTAGAGACACTGATGCCGACACCTACTGGAGATGTGACATATGAGGAATTCCTTCATTGGCCTCTCCTGCCATGGAATCAAGTCACAATACCAACGTGTCTCTATAGATTTCAGGACAACAAACAAATCTTTTACAGGAGTGAGTTTTGAATTCTCAACCCGAGGATCAAACTGTCTGGTCTCAGGAGTATTTATGACATAAAATCCATCAGTCAACTCACCATGGAGATGTCCTGCAGACTGCTCTCAGGCAGGAAGAAGAGGAACCGGTCCACCTGACTGAGAGTTGCCTGGTTCCAGTTCTTCACGGGGCTGAGAGGAAACAACAGAACGCTTCATCATCTTTCGTCAGTTTCCTGCAGTGTGACAAACTGGTATATAAAGAGCTTTTTGTCATATGAAACCTCTGCTGTATGATACATTTGTTTGTAAGTTCTGGATGATGACGTTACCCAAAGACATCAGGTTCTTTCAGGATCCGAGCCACCAGGTCCATCTTGCTCGTGCTGTAGCAGAGTCCCAGGAGGTAATCCAGATTGTCGATAAAGAAGCTGCGGTCCACATGAATGAAAACCTCATCCACCACAAACGGTGCCATGATACCCAGTGAACGAAACTCCTCCTCAGTGAACACTCCTGTGTACATGCTCTGTGGTGAAACAAATCACATTTATAAATCTTCCTGTTTTCAAACCTCAAATCTTCCTGTGGTTTCTTTGCCTCTTAGTTTTTTTAATATAGGAGTGAACACAGTGTGCTGACCATCCTCTGCCCCATCTTGTCCACCAGCAGTTGCTGTTTTTTTCTCTGCAGCAAGAGAAAGTGATGAGGGTCCTGAATAACCATCTGCCTCAGAGCGTCCATCTCAGCTGTAGAAAATTTGTTGATGGTGCTCATGCTGCAAGTAACCACACAAACACACAGGAACTAAATGATAAAGACATAATATAGTCAATAAAAACTGCTGTTATCTGTTAAACTGTCTTATCTCTGGACAATGACTTTCTAAATAAGTCCTTTAAGTAGCAAACACAACATCACGTACATACAGACATAAAGAACCGTTTCCAAATAGAGAGAACAGGCCT